AAGAGCGTCTGAGATTGCAATGCAGAGGGAGGGAGGTTCCTGTTGCGGCATAAAGCGTGGGATCTCTTGTTTCTGAAATTCCTATGTTGTGGAGCGTTTGAGAGATTCGGTTTTTTTTTGTCTGTTTCTCTTTGTTGTGGAGTTTCTGGATGAGGAGTGTGTTGAATTTTGTGGAGGAGAGGATTTTGGAGTTTTTGTGCTAGTGAGGCAGTGTTCAAATTGAGAAGGTGCGAGTTTTGTTTTCTTAGCTTGAAAAAAATGGGTAATAATTATGGTGTGTGTTTCTTATGTTTGTGTTTTGTTTTGGGGGGTTGAATGGTTTTTTTTCTTCTTCGGTGACGGTGGTTCTTATGAGTATATGGTGAGATGAGAATTTCTCTGGCGTTCATGTTTTTGATCTGTTGATGTTTTTTTTATTATAGCCTCTCTGAATTGTTTTCTTTTTCTCTTGATCTGTTATTGTTTGAGGCTTTTCCTGTGAAATTCCCTCTCCATCTGTGTAATTTTGTGGCAGAACCAAGGTGGGGTATTGTAAATTTATGCGAAATGTTTTTTTTATTTTTTTTAAAGGGTGAGCTGTTGTTGCAGTTCATATTTTTTTTCTTCATAATTTCCATGGAATTTTTTTTTTCTTCTTTCTTGTAATTTTCTAAATTTTCTTGGCAAGGAAATAGCCAAACCAAACCGTATTAGGTCGTTGGTAGGTAAGCAAAGAGCTTCTTTCTTTTCCTAATACCATCCTGCGTTTTCCTTCCTTCTGGTAGTGATTAGTTGAAGATGCAACTATTTGTGTCATAGTTTTATACTAATCTTTTTTAATTTTCCAATTGAATTTAGGGAGTGACTCTGGTAGGGTTTTCATTAGTCCTTTTTTCCACTCTTTTCTTTTTTGTTTGGAGGTGGGGTGTGTGGGGTGATAGTAAAGTTATAATTTTGTTATGATAGATGATGTTTTCTGGGTCTGAAATTTTCATTTTGCCATTAGCAGTGATGAAATGGATTTTCTTTGTTATCTGTCCTTTCCTTTGTAATGACCTTGAATTTCTGGCAGATGCTGAGGAATAGAGCCTAACAAAGCTAGCCAGCAAGGGAGGTGGTTTTTTGTATTTCCTGGACAAGCTGCAGGGATGCCTTCTGAAATTATGGAGAATAGGGGTGTTTCTGTCTCATCCCATTATTTGGATGACATTTCCTATGCTTCTGAGGTAGTACTAATTATTATGCTAACTGCCTCATCATGTTTTCTCAAATTTTATCATGACCTCTAGTTAATGATCATCCGTTTCATGAATATTTTACAGTCTAGGACTCCAGTTTTCTTTTGCAAAACGTCAATTAATTTGTTCTGTTCTCCATGACCTCAATGCTGGGGTTTTCTGACCATGTGTTGAATTTTTATTGGCAGAAGAATATTGGAATTCGGAAGCCTAAATCTATTCATGCCCATTTTCTACAAGGTGAGGCCAACCAACCAATTATTATTTGTTCAAAACGGTAGTGAACTGTTTTACCTTTGTTCCAATTGCATCATTAATGCCCCCAAACAGATTTACTAACGTATGGTTTAGATTCAGACCTTGAGTGAACTGTTTTACTTTTACACTCAGTTTAGAAATTGTAAGCAGCTATCATTAATGCCCCAAATAGATTTACTAACATATGTTTATTTTTGAAGAACCTTCCATGTATCTTTCTGTATACAATATATTTTTATTTGAAAAAATAAGGTATACAGAAAGATATATGGTATAACCTTATTTTATACCTATAATATATCTCTGAGGTCCCAATTGAAATGCAGTTGTAATTTCCAAGAAATATTTCTCCCATTTTCTGTTTCAAATTTCATATACATGTTTTGTTTGCATTCAGAATAAATGGTTGTCAATGTTGCTAACAAGTATCCTTAATACAAGTAATTATCTTGAATTCTGAAGCTGATATATTTATTTGACTTTATGGTGATTAGTGATGCTAATTGTTGATTTGTCTTTTAACACATAATCTTCTCACTCTCTGCCAAAAACAATATGTATTATTTTATTGCTTTTGGAATAATGAATATCACTAATCAATGTTGCAAGCACTTTTAAGTTTTAATGAGTAATTGACACCATCTAAAATTAATATTCTTGTTTCAGTTTGTGGTAACAATCTAATTGCTGCCTACTTTAATAAATTAATGTCTTATAATGAATGCATAAATTCAATGCCCTGTTTTTGCAACATTTTGATTGTGGTATATCTGGGATAATTAATGGTGTTTTAATGAATTTAGATGTTATGCTCTGCTAGACCGAAGCTTGTGTATGATTTTGGCATAAATATTATGTAGAATTTGCAGGTTTTTTTTTATCGTGCTAAGTTTGAATGTAGAAATAATGTAATATCACGTGTATCAATGTTTGTGTTTGTTTACTTGTGTTCCATTAATAAGCAGTTCACGTGCAGAACATGTAACTAATTTCTGGATAAAGTAATTTCTATATTCAAATTTTCAGGGATGAATGAAATGGAAGCATCACCTGGCAGCATTTTGAATACTTCATCACCCCTTGAAACAAATGCTAAAACAGGCTTGCCAATGTCTCAGAATCTATCTGGGGAAATTACAGAAGACCTACATTTTGGAGGAGAAGCAGGCTCTAAAGACATGCTGAAGGATTCCAGGGAATCATTGAATTATCAAAAGATATCATGGTCTACTGTGCAGAGGCAGCCAGCATCTAGCTCACATGGTTTGATTGGGAGCAAGATTGTCACCAATGCTGCCTCACGTGAAAGTAGTCTATTTTCAAGCTCACTGTCTGAGATGTTTAGCCAAAAGTGTAAGATTTTGTTTCATGCATGTTAAGATAATTGCACACATGTATTACTCTTTGTAATAATTTAGATGTGAGTTTCTATTGCATTCATTTGCTTGTGTATTGTCATTAGCAATTTAGCACAGCAGAATATATGCTAGTTGTCTTTTGTAATGTAGCAGGGCACAGAAGGGAACCTTCCCTCCACTAAAAGCATGAAACTAAGAAAAGTTATCTATTTGTTTTAGGTTTTGTGATTTTACTTTATTTCAGTTGATATCCTCACATGTCACTGTGTATATATGCTTATTTTATTGCAGTCAGGTTAATGGGGAATGGAGGGCTGTCTGATCAACCCATTACTGTTGGTTCCCTTCCCGAGGAAGAACCATATAAATCTCTTGAAGAAATTGAGGCTGACACTATTGGAAATCTCCTTCCCGATGAAGATGATTTGTTTTCTGGAGTCACTGATGAGTTAGGATGCAATACCCACACAAGAACAAGTGATGATTTTGAAGATTTTGATTTGTTCAGCAGCGGTGGAGGCATGGAGTTGGAAGTAGATGAACATCTAGTTTCCGGAAAAAGAACTAGTTGTGTGGAGGGAAATCTTGAGTACTTTGGAGTTTCTGAGGGAAAAATTCCTTTTGGTGAACAATCTTCTAGAACACTTTTTGTTAGAAACATCAATAGCAACGTAGAAGACTCTGAGCTAAAAGCACTCTTTGAGGTTTTATTCTTTTATTCTGGTGGATGCTATCTTAGAGTTTTCATGAAGCATTTCATACCACTAATAATGGCATGTAAATGGATTATTTTGTTTGTTCTGGCAGCAATATGGAGATATCCGAAACATATATACTGCCTGCAAGCATCGTGGGTTTGTTATGATTTCTTATTTTGACTTAAGGGCGGCACAAAATGCTATGAAAGCACTTCAAAATAGATCATTGAGATCTAGGAAACTTGATATACATTATTCAATTCCAAAGGTATCATTATTAATAACTTCTCATGCATGCATAATTCCTTTTCCCTGTTATTATTTGGATAAAGTTATTATTTTTATTGTTCATCTTATAATCTTTTATTATTACTGTCATGTGTTTTGCTTGTCCAATTGCTTGTGTGTCTGTTTTTCATCCTTTGCTTATAGATATATCTCCATTTGATGACATATCAGGACAATGCTCCGGAGAAGGATATTGGCCATGGTACACTGATGATATCTTGTCTTGATTCATCTGTTTTGAATGATGAACTTAAACAGATATTTGGATTTTATGGAGAGATTAAAGAAGTAAGTTGTTCTTATTTGTTTTCATCCATTTTTGGTGTTTCTGATTCAAGAATAATACAAGCATTCTTAAATATTGTCTCTAATTGCAGATCTATGAATATCCACAATTGAATCATGTCAAATTTATTGAATTTTATGATGTCCGAGCTGCCGAAGCTTCCCTTCGTGCTCTGAATGGGACCTGCTTTGCTGGGAAGCACATCAAGCTTGAACCTGGCCCTCCTAGGATTGCAACATGGTGGCTATTACCACTTCTTTCTTATTTTGAATTTAATTTTCTTATCTATTTATATCAACTTTCGCAACTGTTTTCTACTTTTTATATGTTCCAATCTTGATCAATGTTTTGTAGATGAAGTCTTTATTTTTCATATTTATTCTAACCACCCGTAATAGTATTCTCACTTTTTAGAGGTTGATAGTGTAAAGCTGTTATCTTTACCTTGGTGGAAAAAAATACATCTTGACAAATGTGGAAACCTTGCTTTTGTAGTATGATGCAGCAGTCTCAGAAGGGACAAGATGAACCTGATCTTGGTCATAATCTGAGTGACAACTTTTCCTTAAGACATAAGGGTATGATTTTGTCTGCTTTCACTTGTTTTTTCTCCTTAAAGCTTAGTCTCACTATACATAACTTACAGCAGGAGTGTCATCTGGATTTATTGCTTCTGGTGGCGGCTTGAAAAATGGATATAATCAGGGATTTCATTCCGCAACACGACTACCTTTGAATGCTTTTGTTGATAACTCATTGTTTCATATGAATTCTAGCATGCACAAGACCACAAGAGGGGCATCTGCTGGAAAAGCATCTGGTGTTTGTGAGGCCAGTAACACTATTGATGCATTGAAATTTGCATCTAGGTTCCATCCCCATTCTTTACCTGAATATCGGGATAGTTTAGCTAATGGAAGTCCTTATAGCTTTTCAAGTACCATTAACATGGCTTCCAATATTGGAACTGGATCAACAGAATCAGCTGACAGCAGGCACATTCAGGGAATGAGCTCAACTGGGAATCTAACAGAGTTTAATGCAGGAGGTAAGTTTAATGTACTAAGAAAGCTTCATGTTATGCTTTCCTTTATTTGCAACAGTTTTGAAATGTTTCCTTGTTTAGAGAAAATTGTGATAAGGAACCAATTTGTTGTAAAGGTTCAACTCAAACTTATTGTTCACATCAAAAGGCATCCTAGGAATTTAAAACCTTTCAATAATGAGCATGACTGTTAATTTTAATGATGATACTAGGTTTTTCAACATTTTCATTCTTTTAGAAACACCCAAAAAGAAATTGTTATTTGAGAGGCTAACTATTGATCTAGGATTCTAGATAAATTTGGACTTGCCTGTCTGAGTATCTGAGATTAAGCATTCCAAATTGAATATTGGTCTTGACGTCAGTTTTTCTACCAGCTTGTTAGTGGTAGAAGGTGCTGGGAATTGTAGGCTGTAGCAATATCGGATATGGATTTAATAGTTCCGCACTAGAATTCTGAAATTTGACATCTTTATTTTATTTTGGACCTTCAGGAAATGGGAGCCACCCCCATCATGGACTTTATCATATGTGGAATGGCTCCAGCTTGCATCAGCAATCTCCATCAAATGCCATGGTTTGGCAGAAAACACCATCCTTTGTTAATGGTGCTTGTTCTCCATGTCTTCCACAGATACCAAGCTTTCCTAGAACACCGCCTCATGTGCTGAGAGCATCACATATAGACCATCAAGTGGGATCAGCACCAGTTGTTACAGCCTCGCCATGGGAAAGACAGCATTCCTACTTGGGAGAGTCACCTGACACTTCTGGTTTTAGATTGGGTTCTGTAGGAAGTCCAGGTTTTCATGGTGGCTGGCAGTTGCATCCTCCGGCTTCTCACAACATATTTTCTCATGTTAGTGGGAACGGTACAGAATTGACATCAAATGTTGGGCAGGGCTCTCCTAAGCAGTTGTCACATGTTTTTCCTGGGAGACTTCCCATGACTTTGGCTTCTAAACTTGATTCTACCAATGAACGAATGAGAAACCTCTATCCTCGTAGAAGTGAACCAAACGCTAACAACAATACTGATAAAAAACAATATGAACTTGACTTGGGCCGCATTTTGCGTGGGGAAGACAACCGGACAACACTGATGATAAAAAATATTCCCAATAAGTATGCCACTCATATCCGTATCTTTTTGTAAATTTTTGCTGCTTATACTGTCTTTTCATCCTTACTTGACCAAAGAACGTGATTATTAGTTTCATAGGCAAATGCTTATTTGGCTTGTACCCTTTTCATTTTGGTGCATTAACTAAACAAATTTTGTCTCTCTTTTGCTTGCTTACATGCCAGTGCTATTTGCATATACTTTTTAATATTGATTAATTGGTTTTCCATAACTGATTTTACAAATTTTGAATAACCATACAGACGATTTCTTTTGCACTGGTCTTTCAATTTGTCTCCTTTATTTTATATTTGTTTACATATTTTGGCAGGTATACATCAAAGATGCTTCTTGCTGCCATAGATGAGCAATGTCGGGGAACTTATGATTTTCTGTATTTGCCAATTGATTTCAAGGTAAGTATTTATTTGGAATTTCTTGACTCTTTCCTTAATTGAAGAAAATCTTAAATGTGTTTCTAAGTTTATTCTACAAATGGTTGCAGAACAAATGTAATGTTGGCTACGCATTCATCAATATGATTGATCCTGGTCAAATTATTCCATTCCACAAGGTTATTTGAAAATCCTTATATAATTCTAATTTGATTTATTTATCTGTGATATGAATTGTGAGTTCATCTGTTTGTTTTCGCTTCTTTATAAGTTGATATATCTAATAGATAAGTAATATTGTGCAGGCTTTTAATGGGAAAAAATGGGAGAAGTTCAACAGTGAAAAGGTAGCCGTACTTGCCTATGCCCGAATTCAAGGAAAAGCTGCTCTTATTGCTCATTTTCAGAATTCAAGCCTGATGAACGAAGATAAACGTTGCCGCCCTATTCTCTTCCATACAGATGGCCCAAATGCTGGTGATCCGGTAATCAGCATGTTCTTTTGTTGTGACTATTTTCCTTTTGCCAACTACAATGAATTATGGAACTACTATAGTACCCGACTACTAGTATTCCTCTCTGATATTTTGCTTTGTAAATATGATTTTATTGATGTTTGCATTAATGTTTTGGGTTGATGCAAGTAAACTGATGGTTAATTACAGGCTTTCTCACATCAAAACTTTTTGCCTGATATTTAATGTTAACATGCTTTGGGTATGGCAAGAAAGAGTTTCTTGAAGGAATACTTCATTTATAACAACTAAAGCATTATGTTTCTGACTTGAGTTGGCTTTAATGGCTACAAAATGCAATCTACCATTACGTGCATTTAACAGTCAGGGCTTTCCATTAAAAGGATATATATAGGCTTGCAACCTAATTGTACTTTTGGTACCTGGTTCTTCTTCTGATATTATATCCCTTGGACAATTAACTTAATCTGTCTCTGCAGGAGCCATTTCCCTTGGGTAACAATGTTAGAGTGAGGCCTGGAAAGTCTCGCATTAATGCTAATGAGGAGAATCGCAGCCAAGGGAATCCTTCATCTTTGGCAAGTGGAGAAGATTCTGGGAACGGAATGGAATCTTCATCAAGCTCTTCAAAAAACTCTGACTGATTTAGCATCATGCACTAACAGTTCAATGCTGCATGACATGTCAACTCCAATACTGTATATTTACATTTTCTTTTTGTTCGATCAAGCGTGAAAGGAGTTGGAGCCAGTAGGAAAGGGGGCTCGCAATTTTTTCCTATAGAGGAGCCTTGCAAGAGTTTTTGGAACTTGAGGTACATAACCAAATGAAGTCACTGATTCTAGTGTTTTCTTTATTTACCTAAAATTTTGCATGGAGTACTGCTACCATCTTACAAGTTTAGACAATGGCTTAACTGAAGCTTAAAATTTTGGCTACCTGTGAATGGACAAAGTGACAATTTGCAGTTCCCTTGAGATGATGGGGTTTCAAGGGTTCTTCGCTGGTTTTGTTTCCATTGTGATCTTTAATGTTCATATGTAATTTTGTTTCCTTGTATCCCTGGGCATTGTTATCATTATGGGTTTTGTTGTCCATATAATGGATTGTTGAGGAAAGACATTTAAATGGAACATTTTCTTCGATGGTACTAATTCAGATTTGCTGTTTCGTTTGTTATTTTTTATTTATTCTTTCGTCACTGCTTATACCTGTTATGCATGTTGGGTGTTATAATCATTGATTAGAAAAAGCTTAATTGAGCCTTAGTTACATGAAATGCATGTTAGGTATATAATATGTAGTGTTTAACATAAAGTTTTTTTTAACTTAGTTTTGTTAAGTAACTTAGATGAAGAGAGCTAATTTTGCAATTCTATGTTCGTATACATTGGCATTTATTCGTACGCAAGTGACTGGTGAGCTCCTTTATGCCATGACTGGCAGTATATTTTCTGCAACAAGCCCTGATGAAATGAGATTTGTTTTCTGTCTTTAGATATTTGGCTTTTCTTGGTATGATAGTGACACATCATTTTCTGGAGTTTCAAGTCTCAACATGTATTTTTTTTTATTTTAATTTTTTGACCATAAAGTGAAATCTGTTCAAAAAGTAGTGTAATGGTATTTACATTTCCAATATGCGTGAGCGCACAAACTTTACAAACACTAACCAGTGATACATAGTTTTGCTTTTTTGGTTTCATTACGTAGGTTAGCGCATAATGTTGTATAAAGCTATAAATATAATGCCTCTTATTTTATTTTGATAAATAGTAAGGTTTTACAAATGTATAAAATCGAACTTCAAGACTGATTTGAGATTTGGGAAAACAAAGTCGGAACAAAAACGTGGATTGTAATTTTTAGAAGTGCAATAATAAAAGTTGAAATTGGAATAAAATAAGCATGCTTTAAAAGAGCGTTATGCATGTCAAAGGAACCAAATCTAAAAAAATATGTCTATTGTAACATGAGATAAATTTAAGATATTATGAACCAAAATCTTCAAATAAGAATGTGAGAAATGTATCATTAAGATGTACAAAATGGTGAGGGCCTTAGGGGTGTCAGCCTCTCATTAGAAAACATTCCAAGATGAAACAAAAATACAAAGAAGTGTACACCACGAAAGGAAATTGTGTTGGGCCAGCTTAAGACGTACTATGTTTGTATTTTTGTTTTCAAAATATGAAATTGTCATGTCCTAAACAGGAAAAGATAATTCAGATTTAAGATAGAATTAAAGGAGCATGAAGTTTCCTAACCCTCTTGATAAATGGTTGATAATAACTACTTTAACAATTTTAAGCCACTTTAGTTACCCTAATAAATCACGATTCGACCATTGTGAGGCATAAAGATACAAGAATGAAGAATCGGCATTTAAGCTAAGTAATTATTGTTAAAGCATAAAAGTGAGGCCAACCTTATCCGAAATTCAAACACAGAAATTATTTATCAATTTTATCGATGACAAATTAAAACTTTTAATTTAAATTACATTTTTTAATATTTAATTAAGATTTTACTATAAGAATTTAAATTTGATTTCATTTGAACTAACAATTGTTAGTCGCGATGAAATGAACTATGAAATCTCGAACATGTTGTCTTTAAATTGTAAAATAATAAACAAAATTGAACAATCAAGTTTGTTGGTTAATTTGTGGGGTTTTATTGTTTCAAACATTTGAAATTATTCAAAGTAAATTTATTTTATTTTTTAATATATTATATAGATTTTTTCTATTATCTAAAAAATAAAACGGGAAGTCGTTAACAATTTGAATTTCATTCGAACACAAACAAGTGTAAATATATTGTCATTCAATTAGATATTATCATGTAATGATAAATTTATTATTTTTTATACTAATTATTTTAAAATTTGTGCCTGATATAATTTATATTTAATTTAAATATAAATTTTTATATGGACAGTACATAATAATTAAATTCTAAGAGTTTAACTTCAAATAACATAATTGTTTATGAGATGCATAAAGAGATAATTTATAGAGTTTATAAAGAAGCAAAAAAAAATAATAAAGTGATAAGTGATGCAACATAATGAGGCTCATATAACAATTAATAAAGAGTTTAGGAATCTTCAGATAATATCACAATTGGTGGCACTCTAATGCCATCCTTGTAAAGAGTGTTGGCTTAAATATTGTCAATCTCGACAATAAATATAGTAAAATAAACATCTTTAAATAAAATGAGAGAATTAAATGTGTCATATAATTAGATATGTTTAATACCAGTTCACATAAACTCTAAAAAGCACTGAAAAAATATTGTTAGAAACCTTCTTTCAAAATTTATCAATTCACTAATTGTTACATACTTGCCAATTTTGAATTAGTGCAATTTTGAAATAAATGCGAATTGAAAGAGCTTTTTTGATCTCTAGGGTTGCACCCAAAAAAAAATAAAATAGCATGGTCCTTGTGTGATGTATTTTATCTTCCTTTCCTTCGCATGCTTCAAGTTAAAGGGCATTTGCTGAATATAAAAAGGTGCAAATACTTTTGTGGTCAAATTTAGGGTATGCATGTGTGTATTTATTTCTTTGACAAAAGTCTAATTTCATTTTACAAACCAAATTCAGCAATGTTTGGATTATTGTTGGAATTTGTTGCAACTTTTTCTCTCAATGTACTTTTGGAACGATGAAACGAAACTGTTACCCTAACACATGCATTTTTACCATGTGATAATTACTATGTACGTAAGATACTTTATATAGAACAATAATATTAATAATTTACTTAATTTGATTTAAAACAATTGGCTTAATATGGTAATATGTTTATGGATGCTGTTAAAAATAAGAATTGGATTAGGATGGGAAAATGAGTGATATAGAAAAATAAAGTAAAATGATAGAGAAAGAAATTGATGCAGGTTATTGAGGAAATTTCGCGAATGATTAACGAATCAATAGATTTTAACCTACAGGTTATTTGGTATTTAAAAAAAAAATCAAATTTATACAAAATTAGTTATCTCATTCAATAAAAAAAGTATATTTATAAAATAAAAAAATATATATGAAATCATTTTAATAATAATAATAATAAAATATTGAATATCAAAATGATGAAAGTTTAATTTTTAAAATGTTAAAAATTACTCATTCAATAAATTTTTATTTTAAAGATGATTTGAAAATAATATATATAATATCAATTGAGGAAATTTAAAATTAAATTTAAATTTAAATAATAAAATATTTATGTCATGAAAAACAATAATGTTTTTTATAAATAAATTTTATTTAGGAAAAATTCAATAGTATATGAAATTATATTAAAATATTAAAAAAATCATTATATATGTCAAAAATTCAATAAAATAATAAGCACTTCAAGTGGTTATATTAACATATTTTTTTTCTCAAAAATATTAATTAACAATCAAAAAATCTGGAAAGAAATTTAAAATTAATAATAAAAACAAATAAAAAAATTGAACATCAAAATATTGAAAGTTTATTTTTAACATGTTAAAAATTACTCATTCAATAAATCTGTAATTTAATAATGATTTGAAAATAATATATAATATCAATTGAAGAAATTATAAATGATAAAATATTTAAGTCATTAACACAATAATATTTAAAAAAAACATTTATTTAGGTAAAATTCAATTATATTAAAATATTAAAAAAATCATTATATATGTCAAAAAAATCAATAAAATAATAAACACTTCAAATAGTTATATTAACATATATTATCCTTAATTTCCCCAAAAAAAAAAATACTAGTTAACAATAAATAAAAAAAAGGAAAAATATATCATAAGTTAAAATTAAGTTACAAGGGCCAAACGCTCTCTAAGAACGAAAGTAATACTATTTTAGTGCTTTGTTAGACAATACATTATTGTCTGCAGAACATATTATTCCATCACCAAGTGTATAAAAAGTTAATCTTTGTTGTTGTAAAAGATACGATGATCCATATTTACTTAGGTCTTTAAACACATCAATTGCTGTTCTTGATTTTTGTACCACTTGTTTTGTAATACTGTGGCTCTTGCTTCTCCAATCTTAGATCATCTTGCCCTTGTTTCAAGTATAAAGATCTTCACACCCTCATCTTTGGAGAAATTATCAAGTACTTATGATTTTAACTAATTTTTAAATTATAAATTTAAGTTTTTTAATTTATAAAAAAATACTTAATTACATGTAATATAAAAAATAATTAATAAGAATCATGTAATTTAAATGTAGCTAATAATTTCTTCTGCTTCTTACACGTGTAAAGCAATATGAGAAAGTTTATACGGTCATGACCTTTAGAGTTTATTACTTTGTTTATCCATATCAGAAAAATAATTCTAAATGATCAACCTACTTATATATGAAACAAGCTTTGTGAAGGACAAGGTCTCAATTGCCAATATAGAGAGAGAAACCGCATAATATGATAATTATTTTGTAATTTAATAATAAAATTGTTCAATTTTAACCTTTAAATCAAAATAAACAATTTAGACGAGAAGAGCATAAATAAAATTAATTGTTATATATCATTATTATTGTAACTATTTTTATTATTGTTGTCATTATAACTGTTGTTATCATCACTATTAACTTTATCATTATAATTGTCATAATTGTCACTGTCATCACTATTATCATTATTATTGTCGTGGTTGCATATATCACATTGTCATCACCTAAGCATGACAGTTGTGTAATTATGTGAGATTGGTTAAATTAATTGGTTGTCAATGTGGATCATGTGATGCTTAAGGAATTATTATATGATATTATGAATATTGTGATGGTTGATATATTGTGGACATTGTGACGTTGATGTGTTTGTGAAGTCTTAGTTGATTGCTTAACTAGTTGAGAAGTTTAGGCATGCATGTCTAGCATGTGATACAATAAATTTGTGAGTACAATGTGTAACATCCTGTTTGTCATAAAATATAATATAGGTATTTTATTAATAATTTTGATATTTTTATTTTTATGAATGAGAGCTGATTAATGTCTATTTTATTATTAATTATTATATTTGGTAATAATTAAATATGTTGGTTTTAGTAACTATTTATAATTATTTATATATGAATATATTGTGAGGTTTTATAATTAAAGATTGAATGAGAGCTGATTAATGTCTATTTTATTATTAATTATTA